TCGTTTTCTTCAATTATGATGTACAACTATACAGGCTTGAAAGAGTGTGTAAGATAATCTTTTGCTACCTGGGGCTCTCTGAGGCGAAGATTCATACTAGCGGAAATCAAAGCAATTTCAGTCCTGCAGTTGTCAGGTGAAATGAGTCGGTGTGACACCTGGGCAAACAGGCTGACGCATAAAAATAATACACGTTTAACAAAAGATTTCGAATCTGTGTGTTATAAGCCTTTAACGAGTAGGACACATACTTCAAAACAAAGAGACAATCCAGTGAATGATGAATTATGTTCATAACAAAAGATGGTTCGAGGAAGGAGACCATGGCTTCCTCAAAGTAGAGAAAAAGTGATTGGTTTAGCTTTAGTAGAACCTCAGGTGGTTTTGCACAACTCGGCAATTTTCCTGGACTACTACAGGCTTTACAACCCGGAACTACGAAGATCTGTGCTACCCAGTTTCCAAACACATTGGCTCATTCGCTACAATGTGAGGATTTGTCTATGCGTATCATGGAACTCATTATTTCCAACCTATCCCCCCGGGAATGATGCCCACTAATCATTTGTGATAGCTAAGTATACAAGGCACCACTTACTCTGTTTCTGACATGTCCTCGTGTCATGAGACAGCTATGAATCGAATGGGCGATTCAGCTATAGGCTTGCGAGAAGACAGAGTATAAAAATCCAATGATCGTCCAGCCACACACACACACAGTCCAAAATATTTATCCTTGTTTATTCCCAAACCATTACCTTGTTGTCCTCAGATTCAGAAAACCTGTCTCTTGGTGACTGAATTGAGCGTCGCGCTCCCTTGTACAGTTCACCGATATGCCTATTCAGTGAGTCTATTGGGTTTACAACATGCCAATAAAACCAGTTTCCTGGACAGCAACCTTGAACATGTACCATGTTCAGCATCTGTTATACAAAGTACCTCACGTCTGGCGGACGATTTTTGATCTTTTTGAGACGCTTCAAGCTCAAATACTCACTAGATCTCTTGGTAGTTTCGTAATCATCGTCAATTGATCTTTCGAAAACGGCCAATCCCACTGACCCTTTATTTGGTCCGTCATTGGAAGAAAAGAGTGGACAAAAATGTGTCCATAGGCCAAATTCGCAAACTCTAACTCAGATGAAATTATATCTGATCTAGCATCTGTTCAGGCAGCAGTCGCAACGAGGGCTAACGAATCATTTACCTATTTCCTCATCGGGGAAGTTGTCTATGAGTTCTGCCAGTTTCCTCAAGCCAGTTAAGAGTGCCACTTCCGAGGGTGTCTGTCCCGAGGCATTTACCATATCTCTGGTGGCTCCGTGTTTAAGCAGTAGACGTAGGCAAGTTTCGTGGTTGTTCAGAGCGCAAATGTGCAGGGCTGTGTCCAAGTTGGAGGTTTGGGCATCAAGGTCAGCTCCGTAAATGATGAGCTGTTCCAGGTGTCCAGGTTTGTCAAACAAGCAGGCCTGCAGAGTGAAAAAAATGCGCAAACCGATCAATTAGTTAACTAGATACATGACCGTTTTCCGTGGCGCCCTGTATGGTCAAAATACATTTTCGTCACTTTAAAACATAGATGTAGTTACATGGCTAGATAGAAAGATGAATCACACCCGAGGCTACTGGGAAGATTCATCCACCTGTCGGACCGATTGGGCTAGCACAACGGTATTGCTCAGCCCGTACACATCTCATAAGGTTGCTAAAAACATCATAAACGAGAGATTCAGCTGAGTTCCAGGCGAGTCTCCCTCAAAACCAAATTTGTTTGCAAATGGGTATATTTCACTATTCTTCAGTCTGTTGAATAATCTGTCCTCATTTTCATATGAGTTCCCATGCGAGACAGTTCAGAACATCAATAAAAGTTTAGAAATAACAAAACAAATAAAAGGTGCTGTGATTTCTCCCTCAGACTTTCCGGCCTTTCGCCTGGAGAACCCATTCAAGACCCTTGCTGCTGTATCTAGAGTTGGAATGGAGTTGCGTCACTGCCGTATATCCCAGACTTCGAGGAAAGTGTAATTAACGCAAACGCCGATGCCATGGTTTACTCTTTATTGGATATTTAGTGCATTCTAGTTGCCAGTATCCCTTACACCACCACGAACATGTTGATTGTGTTAGAGGTCTCAGACTTCGAGGAAAGTGTAATTAACGGAAACGCCGATGCCAGAGTTTACTCTTTATTGGATATTTAGTGTATTCTAGTTGCCAGTATCCCCTACACTACCACGAACATGTTGATTGTGTTAGAGGTCATTTTGCATCCTGCAGCAAGATCGGGGAAATTCTTTGGTGAATCACATTCTAACTTAACTGGACACTTCAGTATTTTTGTCAGTCCACCGACAGTCACATGTTTATACAAGTTTTTTCCTTGGAGGCTACCGCTGCCGAATTACATGGTAAGCTAGGTGAATAGTATCGATTAGATTTCAAAACTAAAATGCACTTCTTCTTGTCGGGGTCGGTCAAACCTTTGAGCGCCCATACGGCAGTATCCTCGAGGTTGTCATTGCAAGAATGGTGACGAGTTATTCCATATACTCAACACACAATCCGATGTAGAGAACGAAAATGTTTGTCAAACTAACCCGGTTTTGTCCCCTTCAAAAATGAGACAGCTCAAAACCTGAAGGAGAATTCATAGCTTCATAAACCCATTACGGGTGTAACGGTGCATACTACTAATGAGGCATCTGAGTAGTATCTCCGCTTCGCGTCTCTTGAAAAATGATATCTAATACGGAATTTGTGGAATCACTTTGTAGCATTTGCTTGCGTTTGAGTAACAGTCAATGAATATCCAGGAAAGTTCAGGAAGACGCGTTCAAGGAGAAGATGGATATTCAGTTTTGTAAACGAGATGCATATGAGAGCTTTGCCCTCCTGTCCGATAGTTTGAAACTGTTCAGTTGGCGTTTTTCTAATAAACGGCTCCGCAGCAAAAGTCTTCTTCTTTTCACGGGAATTTTAAACATGGAGCACTGGTTACGAATTTACCCTTCCTTAATTACTCCTTGAAGTTTCTTGAAATGCGTACTGTTGATGATTTCGAATAGGAGTTAACCAATTGTTCAGTGCTTTTCAGGTTTCTAGTGTAGACTGGTCTCGATGACAGGATGAAATCCCCATTGAAAATTTAAAATCTCCTCAAACTACCAATGGATTACAAGTAGGTCAGCGGAAGAATGAAATTTGTCCGACGAGTGGAACTTCCATTCAGGAAGGCGTCACTGGAGGGACCAATCAGCATGTAAGACCGTGATTGAATGCTGAACGTGCGTGCCATCCCATTGCTAATCATCCGCTCGTTTCTGAACAGGTAAGTCTACAATCTACCAGCCGTGGAATCTCAAAGTCGGTACTTCCTGGAGTTTCGTGCGATGCCCACCGTTGCAGATTTTCAATAAGAATGAAACACTTGAAAACCGCTCCTCGGTGATTTGGCGTTGACTAGTTCCACTTACGGGACGAAATATCCATTGAATAATTACCCTCGTTCAGACTGTGATTCACGCAAAAGTGTAGGCCATCCAGTAAGAAGAAGGGAATAGCGAAAGTTTTCTTCCCCCTTGAATGAAACAGAACTAAGCCCACAACTTTCAAAGGATTATGTCCGTCTAATTCAGTTGATCCGAACGAAGAAAAGATATAATTGGCGGCATGTTAAGAGTTGTATTCGAATCATTAGTCATGCACGTAGAACACATTTAGAGCTCCACCATATGGTAATATCTCAAAAAACAAAAAGGCTTTCAGAGAGATGGGAAATGTCCCAAGTCTACTGCAAAGGAAGACTGCCGTTCTATGAAATCACTTTTTGTTTACACAAAACTAACTGTCACATCTTAGCCAGTTTTGCTCCATTAAATGCAAACTTCCGGGTTGTTTGACAGCTTACTGAATGACTGTCTGAAATAAATTAACTTTAACGATATTATGCGGGAATTCCAAATAGTACATACGGCAATCATCTTCGGTGGCGACAAGGTTAGTCTGAAAAACCAGTTCAAGCCCATCACAAAAACTCGCCAAAAAAGTTGGAATGTTAAACAAATACAACTTTCCTGATGAACTTCTTGTCTGTTTTTGTCGTCTACAACCCCCAGAATAGCGTGATCGTAGAGCAGAAGGGCAATACATTTTGTGGGAATATCTCGGGATACGGCATAGTATAACGGTGTCAGACTCTTGCCATCCCGCACATTCGGGTTCATTCCAAGGTCTAAAAGAACCTTAAGAAATAGGAAAAAATATTTGGGAAGACGAAATCAAAAAGTGGAAGAAGTATCAATTAGAAGGTTACGGATAATCCTTTGTGGTGTATGGCACCTTTTTGGTGAAAAATTGTGCCAAAGGGCTCGTGCTTTTGGACTCGCATGAAAACACTAGCTGTGGTACACAATGAATGGTTTCAGAAGGGTTGAAGCTAGAGAGCACAACTAGATCACATAAAAGTTCATCCGTAACAGCATGGCTAGATGCAATAAATCCAAACATCTTATTGGTAGTGGTAGCTACACGCCGAAATTTTCAAAAAGGGATGATTGGCGGAAAGGCTACCAATGAGAAACGCGGATTTCATAACGTGCTTCGTGGTCTTCATTTTGTTGGACTATCGCCATTTTTCAATCATTGACCGGGATATATTCATGAGTCTACTGTTTTGCAGTAAGGAACAGTGAAACAGTGAAACAGGAACACTTGAAAAGCAGTGAAACAAAAAACAAGGCTTCTGTCAACAAATCACTCCATTTCCATCTTCAAGGTACGAAATTATGTCACACCCTACTGACCTTTTTTAGGAGATGTTGAGCTCAGAAAAACATACGGGCTACACAGCATGACAGTGCTGTTGTGCATGTCAACCGTGAGCTATCGTACAACTAACGATGAGTAGTAGGTTTGTAATTACTCACGTCCTTCACAAGGCGCCACTCCGAATAATGACTTCAGTGAGTTAAAAAACACGATCCGTCGTGAGCCAGACTAAAAATGACTATCACATTAACACTGTAACCTCGTGTGTGGCTTGCACGTTCGCCCCCCCCCCAATGCAGTCAGATGACAGTGTCGGAATGTAGCCTTTTTTGTTTACGTCACTAGCTTGCATAGCGAGCCAGGATCATATTACGCAATTCAAACAGGCACAGATAGGGTAAATGCATTGATTTTAATTGACAAACAGGTAAAGAAAACAGGTATACCTGTTTCACAGTCGGTAGCTTAGTTTGTATTAAGACCCGTTTTCTGAGGGGTATCGTCTGAAAATGAGGCTAGTCAAGAGGTGAAACGATCCATTTCGCCTCTCGGCAACTCGGCTGTCATGGAGATGTATAAGTTGAAAATGACTCTTGTAGAGTTCTGGGGAGCGCTCCTTCTTTTGCTAGGCGTACAATGTTACCATGATCAGATCAAATGTCTACAGAAGATTACTTTGGGCCCGCATCAAGTTGATCAGCGCAAGAATAGTTCCGTGAGAGAGGTAGATTTCATGAATCAACTCGACTAGCGACGCATGACTAGCGTTAGTAATGGGTCACGTGTGTAAGCTATGGGTTCGGTCCTAATACAGACATGAAATTCGGTGAAAAAGCATCAAAAAACGGTTATCTGCTGATTGCTAATCTTCTCGCCCAACATGACGAGTGACTTGGAGACCTTTCGTAACCAGCCGACTGGTGGGTGGGTAGTTCTTCCCTTCGAGCTCGGATTTATATCGTCTCTATCGACTATTTTGAAGCTGTAACTTAACTGGCGTTCACAAGCCACCTCACTTAGAGTCTGATTGGGCGGTTTGTGACCAGTTCTGGATCGTGGTCGGTCTCCCCTTCTTTGGACTTGTCCGTTACATACATTCCAGAATCTTCGATGGTGACAGACTCATCGTACACGGTGGTTAAGCAACAGGAATAAAATGGCCTTAGCTAGTAAACAAGATTCGAGATAGTGCAATTCGTTTCAGGAAAGGGGATGAGTACCTGCCGTATTGCTAGGCTCTATTTTGGGTGCTACTATCAAGGACAAAGCGTACTGATAGGCTTGAAAGCAATTACTAGTCAGGCTGCGGAAGGACTATTTCACGTTTCACCATCAACAGCCTTTATTTACAAGAGTTGTATTGTTGGTAACGTTGTTAGTCACTTGAGTGAGAGAAAAATGCAATTTATTTGAGCTCTCCTTGAGTTCGGTAACGCAAACACGAAGCACTCAAGACCACAGTTGACAGATTGCCCTGAGGCAGTGCTGGATTAGTCCGAGATGGCGTTTACTTAGGATGCTGCTATTGATGACTTGATGCCTTGGAAGGTCATTCCAACCTCCTTCGAGGTTTACAGCAATGTGCAGGATCCGAAATTTTTAAATGGTTAGTTGCACAAATGCAAATTTATTTTTTTTGTTCAAATCCAGATATCCTTCTTTATATTTAGCCTTTGAGGTGCAAATTCCTGGCAAGATAATGAGGGACAACTAATTCAGTCATAAGGATAGGATGGACTCTTCACATAAAGCAGATTCACAGCAACCTCCTAAATCCGAAACTATTTATGAAGATTCACAGTGAACAGAGAAGCCAACGAAGTACCACCTCCTTTCAACAAACTTTCTCACAATGTGGACTGCTTCCTGACCACTGAGAACTTGCATATCGATCTGCTCTCAGCGGACAGTGCTGGTATAAAAAACAAGTTCTGCGGATTGAACTCGGCCAGACGACTGACCATAAACTGTCAGCTTCTAACTTTCCCTTTTCGCATTCATCCTGGGCTTTTCATAACACTGGTGAGTATATTCAATTCTTCACTCTCGAAGAGGTCCGTTTTACTCTCCTCAGGTTTACGACACATATGCGGTTTGGCATGTAAGAGGAATCTGGACTGTAAGCTGATTTTTTTCATCCGGCAGGTGAAAATTAGTGTACAAGTGTTCCACTCTTGCTGTAGAGGACCAACTGCTGTGGTTTCGTAACCCACCATGTTGGCCATCTTTGCTCCTCAGCATGATATGCCAAAACGCACAGTAGCTTTGGAAAACAAGGTAACCGTAGTACGAATGTGTTTATAGAACCAACACAGAATTATCCATAGGGTCAGGCCAAAAGCTTGGTGATGGGGCTTAGACTGCTCAGATAAAAGGGCCCGAGTCTGCTTTGTTCATGTTCTGAACATGTCGTTTGCTGACTCAGTCGATTCGCCGTACCTTCGTCCAGTCTGCGTCATTCTTTTGAAATATCACAAACGAGAGGTCCAGCTGGGTTCCAGGTGAGTCTCCTCCGCAAAACCAAATGAGTGTATTTCGCTAATTACTTGTAAGCGGTATGCTACCGGATATCAGTAGTGCGCATCTCATGAACACCAGTAAGAAATCATGCCAGTCGGTTACAAGTGGCTGATCGACAAAGTGACCGCCCCGCATTTAGACAGTTACGTGATTCGAGTCAAGCGATCCGATATTGAATAGCTACCTGAGAGACAAATTATCAGAAGGAAGACCAACGTGCCTCACGGAATTTCAACTTGTTTGATTGATGAATCGATTGATTTTAGTTTGTAAGCTGCCTTCTGAACCTATTGATTAGAAACTTAATCAACCGAAAACTCACTGGGTGAGGAAAATTAGACTATCCACCTACCGCATGCATAGAAATATAACTATCTGCATCACATGAGATCATACAATGGTTGCTGGTTTGTTCGCTGTGCTGAACAAGGTGACATTATCAGTAGTGTACCGACCTATTCATAAATGTGCGCAACCAACCCGCTCCGTTAAAACACACTGATGATATCACCTTGATTGTGGATGAAACACTTGCAAGCAAGCCGCAAGCAAACGGACCAGCGACCATCCACTGCGGTACCAACAGTTTATAGAATAGCAAAAACACTCGCACTATTCAAGCGATCGGGATTGTGCATCATTCTTCAATTCGTTTCGGAGTTCCCAGGAATGTCTGTATAGTGGTTTAGATTTGACATTTCACCCTACCATAACTAAACAGTTGATTATCATTTCAGTTCAATAGACCAACTTCTCAGCATTTCTACATCGTAAACCTCTGTCAAAAAGTGGCATTACACGCGGTCTCCCTATACCACAGATTTGACCTTGAGAAGTTAGGGGATTTGTTGAGTTGGAAGTCCAAACAAGTGTCCATCCAATCTAGACCATCGAATGAAATCCATCGTAATTCTCTGTCGATGGTCTTGACAGTAACTGATGAAAACTAACGCTGTCAATAAATGAAAGCCACTGACTTCACTGGCTAACATCAAAAGTCTGGCCCTGACTGTCCACGGGGATGAAATTGTTTAACGTCTAGAGGAACGCGCTAAGGGCGGTGAAATTTCAAAGTGATGAGTACTTTGGCTTAAGTAGTTTACAGAATCTTCTAATCGACAAAGATTTCGTCGTGTTTTTGGAGGATAGATAGAAATTTTGGTAGGTCTTGAAGGGAGAAGTTAGAGTACAGTGAGCAAGGGGCAACAAAACGAGCTCAATGAACTCGGACCACCGACCTCCTGCTCACAGAATGAGAGATCGAGAACCGGGTTGATTAATATAACCTCGTCGTGTTTTTAAATCACACACCATGCAGACGGTTGCTAATGTCAGCTTCAGGAAGAGAACGCGGCTCGAAGCCCTGGTTTATTATAAAGAATCTGTGTGGTTAACCCATGAAATGATCACCAGGTGTCTTGCTCAGTTAGAACGATTCCTAAACAGCTACTGATAGACGTATGCCAATTTCGGTGCTCTCAGCTTACTGAGCAACGACTGCCAATCTCTTAAACATGTGCGTATCATAATTGATTTAATGAATACCTGTCGCGGGGCATTTTTGTGTCAAACATGTGGCTTTATGTCTGAATCATTAATCGATAGCGAGCTCCGATTCGCTCTGAGCTCCCTACCTAGAATGTGGCCAACATCTAAAATAACTACTGAGCAGAAGACGATCTGATTCAGAGCGATAAATCAGTGTTCACCGGACTTGATGGACGGTTGACCTTAGTTTCGATATGGCATCGAAAAGCGTAAAACTCATTGTACGAAACCAACTGTATGGGACCCTTGGGAGGTCAAAATGTTTAGGTTCATCGTCTTCTTCCTTTTCTTCTGGTAAACCCACCTTGATAGACTCCAGATTTCCACATATGGCTGCCCGGTGCAAAGGGGTGAAACCGTCATCATCGCGGAACTCCAGAAGTGCACCTTTCTCGACCAGTTTTAAAATCAAATCTTTGGAGAATGGCTGCAGCGTGGCGCAACAAAGCGGAGTCTCTGTTAGGTGCAAGATAGAATAAGATGAAGTGGATATACGGGTAACTGTACATAATTCTTACGCAGGACTAGGTTGCGTAAATTTGAGAGTATTCTAAGTTTACTTTATTATGGCCTAACTCTATTGCTGTCGTGTAACCTGAAAGGCCAGAATTTGAAGCCAACCGGCAACCGTGTGATTAGTTTACACTCGTTCCGTCCACTGAGCTTTGGTCATCTTGAGAACAAAGTGGTGTCATTGCCTTTTGCCCACAAATCAACCTCAACAAGTAGTTTTTCTACTCACAGTTTTTTGAAACAGATCGCTCATCCCAGATGTCAAAAGCATTCCTGTAATTGCGACAGAATCGAACGTGTCTTGAAGACATTTTGTTTTTTTTGTGGTGAATGGAACCGGTCAGTTGGCCTCCCTGTACATTTTTCCTCAAAAATTCACCAAAAAAGGAAGTTGGATGAATTACGGACAACAGGATTGCATGGACAAACGGGTGTGTGACCAATATCAGGAGAGCTCAGAAAAACAAAGCACTTTTGTTCTCGTGAAATTTACTAGACTGATAGAGAGGTTGACTGGTGGCAGACAGAGCTTTGTAAAATTGGCTGATGAGCCCCAAGAAGGGCGAAACCGGTCGTGGGCTGTCGAAGAGTTTTCAGCAACCTTGTGAGTAGTTTCCTTTATAGCTGAAAACACTTTCATATCAGAGTACTCTTGAAATGTGTTGAAAGTGTTAGTGCTGATGCCCTAAAGAAAAGTTCCCTTTCAATCAATCTGACCAGTGTATTAGAAAACAAGGTATCTTGAAGCGTCAACCCTTCGTTGAAGGATGGTGTTTTGAGAGCTACAAACAGTCGATTGACAACTTAAATTGGAACCGAATAGGTCAGTTGGTTTTTAATTAGCCATCTGAAAAGCAAGTCAATTACTTCCCTTTCGTTTTGGGCTGCAAACCGACAGTTTTCAACGGGTAGCTGGTGAGAAATGACGGAATGTCTTACTTTGGCAAATTTAAACTAGTGCGGATAATGTCACTAGGGTTAGCCCTCGACCGGGATACTTTAATGACACCAGTTCACAAGATTATGTGAACAAGTCAGGTAGTTGAATTGGAGCGGCCGGTTTATACTGCCAGTCTCAAGGGAATTCTGTTGGGACGATGCACAAGTGGCTTATAAATGGTGTCATGATGTCACAAGTGTAGTGCAAACTATACATTTTAACAAACTGGTATTCTATTAGAGATTTTATGTTGTAATGGAAGCCAGTCTATGCGCAAAACCGTTTCTCTATGTTCAGTGTACATCTCAAGAAGCCATATGGAGCCTGGAAGCCTCGACCTCATGGCTAGGAGTTTGAACAATCAGCCATTCGGCCACGAGTGGCTGAACAGCAGTAGGATAAGCTCAGCTAAATGGAGTATCACGCCACTCATCCTTCAGTCATGGGATCCACATTGCCTTCATTATGGCAGGCTACTATTATCAGGTCAGAATAACAGGTACCAGTGACTTTCGAAAGGAATATAAATTGAGTTAGTCACAAAAAAATCCAGATACGTAATACAACTTCGGTTTTCTAACAGCCAGAAAGGGCAAATTTTAGCTGACCGAAATGTGGTTTATCGAAAGATATTAACACGCGAAAATAGCCAAATTTTCCTGGTCCTTTGAAGCGGTTTCCTCAGAGTTTTTCGTTCCAGTGTTGTGCACGTTTTATCGGAATCGATGCCAAGTTGACTAGTGCATGGTTGTTTGAAAAACAGTAGTAATTACTCAGTTGGTAGGGAGATTTTGAAGCCTCTGGTTCGCTTCAGTTACCATTAAATACTGCAAAACACGGATAAAAGAGAGGATGTCAAATAAACTCACCGCCTGTGGAACTATACTGAAAATTTGGGTCCAGACCACGATCTAGCATATCATCCATTCGGCGAATATTTCGCTCCCGAATCGCCGAGAGAAATTGCTTCTGGTGACTCTAAAATTGCATCACACACACTGATGTCACAAGAACATAACACTACCCATCACAAATCAGATACAACGAACTGAAACATGTCGGGCAGAGGGAATAACTGTTGACACATCGTCTAACAAGGTATGTGGTGGAACGATGACTTGATTCAATTCTGAACAATATCGTGGCTTGACAGGACTTTGGGGTTGATTTTCAGTTAAGAAACATGATTTTTGGACCCGGACTCTGAATCCCTTATCACTGACTGGCTTTTATGCATTAAACCAAAAAATGAACCATAATATAATGTGATGTGCCTTATAATAATTGAGGTTCGCAAACAACCACTCTAAACTTCTAAGAGAAAGCAAGTTATACAGTCAGATTTTTGGCAAAAATATGGAAGTTACTGCACAAAAGTTCACATCGCCGTGAACATCTGTATTCCACTGACCCGCCAGCTGAAAATGCATGGAGCCACACTGATGAAGCTACACTGATGTGAAGTTTATGCTCTATTTTAACTGTTGTTTATAGTTCCGGTCTGTGAAGTTGTGATCCGCCTATGTAGGACCTAATTGACATTGATGGCCTACTGAGGGTTCCGTGAAAACAGAAGAGATGAACTTTATCCAGTTAAGCGTTCCCTCAAGAGAGACTGCTCGGAGGGAAGGCCCCCACTGTATTCTCTTCAGGAGGCCAGTCACTTTGTTCACCGGTTCAACAGACCAAGCAACTTCAGCTTTGAGGAGGGTTCTTTAAGGTTAGTGGTGATTAGTGGATACGGCACTGTGCTGTAGCATGTCATAAAACTGCACGGATGTCATGTGGTTTGGAGAAAACAAAAAAGGACCGTCCCCCAAAGAACCCTGCAGCTCATTGGTCGCTGGTATGAATTTTCTCTGTAGACTAAAGTCAACGTCGTTTAGGCTATCTTAGTCACGACCACAATGCTAGTTCAATAGGGATTTTGCAAGAACCAAATCAGATCTACTTTGTTTGTTATTGGTAACTAAACCTAACTCTCCCGAATAAGGTCAACTTCAATAAAAGCGATAAAGTTATACCCGAGAAGTCTAGATGTCAGTACTACTGTGTAAGTAAGCAATGGGCTCCCAGAACCAAATGGGAAATTCTTCTCGTTTGCTTTGAGTTGTCATTAACCGAATGACCAGCTCAAACCTGGTCACGTGGATGGCTAGGTATTGCTGAGGGGGCGTGATGTTTTAATCTATCTAGAATCAAGCCATTCTTACATGTATGTCTCATAAGGTTGCTGAAAATCCATCGACAGCCCACGACCGGTTTCGCCATTTTGGGGTTCATCAGGTAGGCGCAGTATCGCGATATCTCGATCAGCGACTGAAACATGAGGTGGTCTGGTGCAGCACATTCAGTTGCCTGAGAACATCACAAACAAGAGATTCAGCTGGGTTCCAGGTGAGTCCCTCGAAAAACCAAATTGGTTTGCAGATGAGTGTATATTCGAAAAGTGGAATAGGTAATCACGCATCCAGAACCTTTCAATGATGAAATGACCATTGCTGATCTCAAACTTGGATGTATGATGTCTCTGCCATTGAACGCAACCTAATCTAACATTCACAGTGGCTTGAGAATTGATCCAAAAGTATGTACTGGTTTTTATATGTGTTTTGTATTCACAGAATACATGAGGCACTTTCCACTGACAATGTCTCTCCAATAAGTGAATAGATGTTCACAAGACAGCTGCCAAGCCCGGCGAACAGACCAACCACCGATGGCTGATTTTGTAAAACTCCTCCACGTGAAAAGTGCCAATCCAGCGGAAGATATCAACACATTGCAACAGTTTCGTCTCACCTAGTTGCGGTGCTGATGAGTTGCTAGGACAGTTTAAGGAAAACTCCTGAGAGATCACTTCCTTTTCCAGAAGGTGTAAAGTTGCTCGTCCAACAAGTAAACGATTACGTTCATCTGCCCAACGTTTGAAATGTTTCCCGTTTGTACTCCACGCACAGCGTTGGTTCCTATCAACAGATGAATGAATGTGCCTGACGACGTTCGATATCCGTCAGCTCTGTCTGCACCAAGTATCACCGCAAGAAACATCATCATCATCGAGAGCATGACATCAGTGTTCAACACCGACGGTTCACCGCAAGAAACGAAATCCAGCAGACCATCTACACAACTTTCAATGAGAAGAATGAAATTCTCCTCCAGGGACAGGATAATTAACTGTTTCATTGGATCAGTTTTCTTTCTAGTTAGCATTTGATACGTAAGTAGTCCCTTGTGCTGTTCTCAAATAGCACCGATATGCCTTCAAAACACGTGGGAATACACATTCCTGTGCAGAATCGTGTAACTTTTTCTGTGGTCGATGCGTAAGATTGCCAAACCAGATGTGTCGTTGTTTAGGTTTCAAGAAAGCTGTTCGGAGGCCAGCCATACCTAATAACCGAACATCACATCATTTGGACGGATGTGTCACGTGCAGGACACGGGCTAAACGAAGGCATACCCTGATTGGTCAGAATGCCAGCCAATCCGGGCCGAGCACCCTTGACTGGAGGCCTCTCGTCCCTTCACGGTGCTTCTAGCACGACCTTGTGGAACACTCTGTGACTACTCTATAGATACAGTTGCAATAATTTTCCTTCGTCTCCATAAAGGGCTGTGTAGAGATACCGTGCCTTTGATATTCCATAGTGGGCGGAGCAGGAAGCCAAGGGACCGATACAGAGTTGCACGATCGTCCACCAAGTTACAACAAAAGCCCCGCACAAAAGCCGGGCAACTGTCAGCCGGATAACTGGTTCAGCATTAGCCGGTCGGACCAGCATTTGAAAATAAAAGAACCCCAGATATTAGGCTATGTATTAATCGGATTTGTAAACTATGCCTTCAGAAGAACGAAAAGTAGAGTGATGTTCACACCCAGTAGATATGGTGATTTCTTCGTTAATCTGGGAAATTAGTGCCCAAACGTTTCATCAGTAATCGAACTACCATACAAACTGAGCTGACAGTAATATCGCTAGAAGAAACTAGCATGTACACCCATTGTTTATTTGGGTGCGACCACATAGATTGCGAGTTTGAATTTTAATATACTGGATGACGTAATTCATTCCACAACAAACTATTCGGTTTTATTCTCAGTGTTCAAGATGGAAAGAGTTAGAGTGAATAACCTGCGGGTGTGAATCGTTGACAAGTCCAATTTCACTGGACAGTGAGAAATACAACAGTGCGTGTCCTTCGGAAAGAAGTCGGGGTAAGTCACACCCGCTCTCTGTCCATCTTTACTGTTGGTGTTAAATCAAAGTTGCCTCGTTTGGAAACTTTATTCAGCTAATGTATCCCTGTCGAATTTTTTTAACGAATCATTGATAGGTCGTTTGAAGAAACTCCTCCCCCTCTCTGCTTGCCCAATAACGACCTAAATCTTTCTAGTCAGGCTGACATGCGGAGTTTTGTGTTGTACTTTGGAACCTGCCCTACTTTGTGGTATCGTAAGGCCACTCTGTTTATGGATATTGCAGGGTATAGTTCTGGTTCAGTTTCCTACGTATCGACCACATACCAACGTGGGCCGCTTGAGAATGCTACAGTTTTGCCCTCCCTACAGAAGGGGATTGCTACGTTCTTAGGGAAAAGGAATAAGGTTACTTACAGTTGATCGTACCAAACTGAAGGCATCAGCTTTATTGAGTGCGCACTCGAGATAGCTAGAGATAGAATAGAGGTTAAGTTGTGAACTTGTTGACTGGAAGGTTTATGGTTCGAACCAACTCTGGCTTGTTGAATGCTCCTATCTATGTCTGGATTACCTAGCGGAAGCCCGGGTCTCATGTGCCTCCTGGGATGCATTTTAGTTATACGGTTGAACAATTACCCCTTTTATCTACCTGCTGTGCACTTGAGCTATTACCGTCAGTGTTACTGACCAGGGATCTGTCCCACCCAGAGGCCTCTTATCAACGGAGACGGCAGTGGTTACCACATTTGAGTTTAGTGGCTAAGTACCACACATCAGTATTTGTGGTAGACTGCTTACATCAGTGTCGTTTCTAGTCGGCATAGAGCTGTTGGGGAAGAGACTTTCCGAGAAAAGTCGGTCTTGTGACATGGGAAGCTTGCGTAAGGACAAGCGTGATCAGCGGACTTTTGACACGTTTGCCTGTCGCTTTATTCACGATGAAACCAGAAATCTGCAAAAGGATGAATAAGTAGTTCTACTGCAAATGAAGAAATTAAACTTAGTCTACCTGGCAGGATCACAGGGAGAACGGAAACATCTTTTTTCGAGTTGGGGTGACTCCAGAAAATCTTGTTATGACCGTTTTTGTAAGATGTACTGAAATCAAAGTGATTCTGTGATTCTTGAAACCCTTTGGGATCAAAGTAAAGTCATCTTCCCGCAAAATTAGAGTTATTAAAGGGGACTACACTTTCGAAAGTGGGTTATTTACTCAGAAAGCACCCTCGTGAACAATGACCGAAGTGTTTGGAGCCACGTGAGAAGACTTTGGTAAGTAGTCGGTGGGTTTAGGACTCGGCAAAGTTTCGGTTTGACGGAGAGCCCGAAGTGAGCCACGTGAGAAGACTTTGGTAAGTAGTCGGTGGGTTTAGGACTCGGCAAAGTTTCGGTTTGACGGAGACTTTGTCAGGTAAAGTGAGCGAATTACAAGGTCAACCATGTTTTAAGACAAGCGGAAAATGAAACGTCAAAATCTCATCCGATTAACACACTCGGCCAGCGGTGAATATAATTTAAAAGGTTTTGGCGGTTGCTGTGGATGCATAATTATATTGATGGGCTGGGAATAGGTTGGATCTTTGATCCTTGGATTGAGGGCCCTTCAAGCGACTATTTTTCTTTTATGTCAGGGGGGGTGAAACATCGCGAACTTTTGGTCACGTTCGCTCTGTGCACCACAAATCCAAGCCACTTCTGTCACCGCTCACTGATAAACGGATGCCGCAACAACTGTGGGTTGGAAGCCAAATTAAAGTGTCTCATACGTAGA